CTGGATAGAGCAATCTTGGTTGTAGGTCTTTGGATTTCATGACTTGGAATACCTCTTTCCAGCCCCTTCTTGCCTGTAAGGTCTCTTTTGAGAAATCCGCTGACAGTCTGATGGGGACTCCTTTGTAGGTGACTGTCCCCTTAGCTCTTGCTGCTTCTAGGATTCTCTCCTTCATTTTAATTTTGGCTAATGTAATGATGATGTGCCTTGGTGTGTTCCTTCTTGGGTCCAACTTCTTTGGTACTCTCTGAGCTTCCTGGATTTCCTGGAAGTCTATTTTCTTTGCCAGATTGGGGAAATTCTCCTTTATTATTTGTTCAAATAAGTTTTCCACTGGTGGCTGTGCCTTTCCCCCTTCTGGTACCCCTGTAATTCGGATGTTGGAGCGTTTAAAGATGTCCTGGAGGTTCCTAAGACCCTCCTCATTTCTTTGAATTCTTGCTTCTTGACTCTTTTCTGTTTGGCCATTATTTGCTTTCTTCTGGTCTACTCCATTGATTTGAGTCCCAGTTTCCTTTTCATTGCTATTGGTGTCCTGTGCAATTCCATTCATTTCAGTTAGTTTCGCCTTCATATATTTGTCTAATTTGTGGCTATAATCAACCAGTTCTGTGAGGATCCTGATGACCAGTGTTTTAAACTGTGTGTCTGAGAGTTTTGCTATTTCTTCATCGCTTAGATCTATGGGCTCTGAGGCTTTGCGATCTTCTTGTGCCATTTTTGGTCTGTTCGTGTCCTTTAAGTGTGAGAAGCGGTGCCTTGGACTCCCAGGTTGCTGGGTTGTGACGCTGTATGTGGGGGCGTGGTCAGAGCGGGGAAAGGGCGACCCCCTCTGCTGTTTCTCACAGCTGGGTGCGGAGGAGCAGTGCCTTAGGTGGTTCACCTGGGCCGGGCCACTCAGAGTCGCTGGGTTATGACGCTGTATGTGGAGGTGGGGTCAGAGCAGGGAGATGGCGGCGCCCTCCACTGCCGTTTGCCGCGGGGACCCGCCGGGCTCCGGTCCAACCACCCACTCCCTCGCCTGTCCACCCGCGCACAAATGCGTGACCACAGTCAACACGCAGCACCGCTCCCCCACTGTCTCCCCCGCGGTCGCTCGCCTGGTCGCTTGCTCGGTCGCTCCCTAGGTCCAACCCTGTGCCTGGATTCCGCGCGTCTGGATTCCGCGCCTGAGTCCGTCTGACCGAGTTTTCCTGTGCAACCCCGCTTCACCAGCCGCTGGTTTCACCCCTTACCGGTCAGGCTGAAGAATTTGTTGTTAACGGACTTCCGAAAAGTTCAATTTTCCGTGTTCTGGCTGTGTTTTCTGTTGCTAATATTTCGTTGTCTCTAAACTTGGTTGTGTGAGAAGGTACGGCACATCCACCTATGCCTCCATCTTGGCGGAAGTCTCAGAAATTTATTTTATGAAGAGGAAATAGCCCTGGCTGGTGTAGCTCAATGGACTGAGCACAGGCCTGCAAACCAGAGGATCATGGTTTGATTCCCAGTCAGGGCACATGCCTGGGTTGCAGGCCGGTTCCCGGCAGGGGATGCACAAGAGGCAAACGTACATTGATATTTCTCTTCCTCTCTCCTTCCCTTCCCCTCTAAAGATAAATGAATAAACTCTTAAAGAAAAAAAAAAAGAGGAAATATAGATCTTGGAGAGGAAATGGAATTATCTTCCTGCTCAACCTTTTGCATAAGGTTGAGGAGGCATTTCAAGAAGGTATAGAATAGAAGGCAAAGAAGTTTAATTACTCATTGTAATGAGAACCCATAGAAACTGTTGGAAAGAAAGGTACCATAGGCAAAAAAGAAAAAGAAAGAAGGAAAGAGGTGAGAAATATATGATTAGGGATCTGAAATAAGGCAGTTGAAAAAACAACACAAACTATAACGCGAGAGGGGGAAGCAGAGCCATTATCTGTAATGGACTGGAAACATAACAGACAGTGCTGGTGAGCACGCGGAGCAGAGCGGATCGATGCCCTGCTGGCGGGAGCGCACAGTGGTGCCGCCGTGGTGGAGAGCAGTGTGGAGGGTCTTCGAAAACGTATCACAAGAACGGCCTGATGACCCAGCAATTCCACTTCTAGGCATTTATTTATGTGATGATAATGACATTCCTAACTCAAAAAGACATCTGGATCCCAGGCTCCTAGCAGTGAGCGTTATTTACAGCCGCCGAGACGTGGAAGCAACCCGATTGTCCTCGGGTGGATGAAGAAGATGTGGTATATGTATGCAATGGAATATTACTCAGCCAAGAAAAGAAGTGAATCTTGTCATTTGCAACAACACGACTTAACCTTGAGAGCATTATGCTAAGTGACATACATCAAAGAAAGACCAATACCGTGTGATCTGCTTATATGTGCAATCTGAAAAAGGGAAGAAACCCAAACTCACAGATGCAGAGAACAGATTCGTGGTACCAGAGGTGGAGATGGGGGGTGGGTGAGGAGAGTGGGTGAAGTGGGTAAAAGTAGGCAAGAGGTCAAACTGTCAGTTATGATTTGAACACGTCCTGCATAGGTAACGTGCCCTGCGGTGACTATAGTTAACAGCACTAGATCGGAGGCCCTGGCCGGGGAGCTCAGCTGGTCAGAGCATCCTCCCAATACACCAAGGTTGCAGGTCCCCTCTCAGGGCACATCCAAGAAGCAGGCAATGAATGCATCACTGAGAGGAACAACACACTGCTTGCTCTCGCTCTCTCTTCTCCCATCCCCTCTCTCTCTAAAAGCAATAAATAAAAGCATAAAACTGTACTATATTGTATATTTTAAGTCTGCTAAGAGTGTAAGAAAAACATCGGAGCTGTGGTGATGGGCGTTAACCTCACTTTCTGCGGTGATCAGGCCGCCGAATATCTATCCACGTATCACGTGATTACGTGGCACGTCTGACGCAGATACAATGTTATTTGTCAATTGTGCCTCAATTCATTTTTTAAAAGTTTAAATTTCAGTAACATCCGGGTATATTTTGAAATGTTTTTCATATCGTTTCAGGAATTAAGGCATGTGTAGATGCTTCTCAAATTAAAATCTAAAGTTGCAAGCACTTTTGGAAACTTTTTCACCCGAAACAATATTGCAACGGGTTTTCTAATGTCTTTTGCGAACAAGTCACACCAACACAATTGAAATAGGAGATTTTCGATCATGATGAAGGTAGAAATGAAGGTGAAATATGCAATATTTTGCATCTATGCAGGGAAGATGGAGGGTGGCCGGCAGGCTCTCTCGTCCCTTCCCGAGGGCAGGTGCTGGCCCAGGGGCGCAGGAGGGGGTGGCTCCCAGGAGGTAAGCCCAGGTGAGCAGCCACGTGGAGGCCTCCGCGGGGCTGGGGTTCGGAGCCAGTGGGCACAGGAGGCAGAACACTCAGGTGTTCCCACGGTTAAAGAGATTCAGGCAATCCGGGTCTGAAAGCGTTTCTCCTTGGGAGTTCCGTGAAGTCTAGAAAGTCTTGCTTGGCTCCATCTTGCCTTTCTGACGCGTCTGTGAGTTAGAAGAAAACTTCTCGAGGACGCTTATTGTGTTTTTTAACCTCTGTAGTGAATAAAACCACATCTAAAGATGCGCTGCCTTCTTTGCTAACCAGGATCTAGTCGCGCTCAGCTCCGCGGTAACCAGTGCCAGGCTCTGCTGGGGAACGTGCAAGGGCAGTGTCTGGACTCCCCACACAGTCTGTCCGCTGGTACAGGGTTTGAATTTTCAAGCCCTGGACACAGTGGGCACGAAGCGTGTGGTGATGTCTCTCCGCAACCCAATGATCTCAGCGTGTCCTGTTCCAGCTCCCGCTCTGCCGGGCGGTGGAACACTTAATCTGGTTAATTCCAAGTACATTAACCTCTTCCTGGTTTTCCTTGACCAGCTCAGGCCTCAAGCGAGTCAATCCTTCACCTCCTCCTCTGAGCCCAGGGAAACCCGCCTCCCAGGCCGGGTGCTGGCGGTGCTGGCGCACCGCAGAGCGTTCAGCGGGCCCTTCCTTCCACGCCTCCCCCACAGCCCATTCCGTCCCCTTCCGCTGGCACTCGGACCTCCTGGGGCCCCAGGGCTGGAGACTGGAAGCAGGGAGCGTCCTCTGTGCTCAGACGCTGCGCCGCCCCTCCCCCAGCTTTCCCAGAGTCTCAGGGCTGTTCCCCGTCTCGCTCCTTGGAGCCCTGGGAGAGGTGAGCAGAGCCCCTCTGAGAAATTCATCAGCATCTCTCTTGTCTCCACCCCAACCTTCTTCCTCTCCTCCGTAAGGAAGGGGGATCTTCGAACGTGGGGGGCAGGTGTGTGGAAGGAAAGGTGGCTCAGCTCCCTTGGGAATCCAAGATCTCTGGTCTACTGCAGGTTTCAATGTTTTTGAGCCAGAGGGCCAGCTCTGCTTGGGGCGGTGACCTTAACTGGGGAACTGAGCTCAGGGGGCATTTTCAGTAAACCACACTGGGTAGTAGCCAATCGCCAGCAGTTGGTTAGGATCCCAGAAGGCCCCAAAGGGAGCCCTGTGACTCGCACCTGTCCGTCAGTCCAGCCAAAGACAGGGTTCCATGGCAAGACGCCTTCACACGAGTTTTGCTCATTCACCAATAAAATTGTTGAGTTCCCCGAGCCTCGATGTTCTCTCTTCCTCCCACTCAGATAGATGTCCCTGTTTTGGAGTTCTCTGTTTTCCCTCTCGAATTGTAGCTTTCTCCTTCCCCCATCTGGGCACTGAAGGGACCCCAGCCTAGCAAGGCAAACGCCGGTCCTCCAGGGCTCCCTTCAGCAAGTTGCTCTTGAGAAGAGGTGCCTTAGACGAAGGACCTGCACAAGCTGCTAACAAGTCTTCAGTCGAGTTTTCACCTGGAACCAGTGACTTTTTCCCTTTGGGACTCCAGCACCTGTGCAGGTCTGGTCTGTCCTGTGCCCACTCAAAGCAATAGCTCTCACCACTCACTGCAGCCCTGCCACCCGAGACAGGTGCACAGCTCCTTCATCCGCCCACACTCAGACACTGCCCTTGTCCTTCCCTGTTTCCTCCAGATCTTGCTGCTTTGCTCTCTGCCTGCTGGATCGCAGGAGAGCTCCAGGAAACAATGTTGCTAAACCGGAAGGGATTTGGGATGGAAGAACAGCTGAGCCCACCAGCTGCAAGTGAGATACGACCACCCACTAGGAATTGTCCTTTCTGAAATTCAGTTGCTTCTACAGAAAAGAAACACTTTGGAAGGGGCCTGGGTAACCAGCTCCATGGACCTTGGGAGGACTTGAGACCCTGCCTGCAGGAGACCTTGGACCTCAACCCTGTAGCCTCGGAAGCTGGGTCAGGATCTAGTAAAATCAAGATCACGTTCTGGTCAACTTCCCCATAGTCAGCAGGTGATGAAAAACAACTTGATATCTGAGTCCCATATTTTGACACTTAAACAGAATGCCTAAGGTGATATTAAGGAGGATACTTGATTTCAAAGCATAATCGAGATATAGCTAATTGGGATTATTGCTCAGACCAGTGCTTGTCAAACTTTAATGTGCACCCCAGTCACCTGAGGGTCTTGCTAAAGTGCACATTCTGACATAGTGTGGGGGGTCAGGCCCTATATTTCTCATTTGTTCCTGATGCTACAGGTTCATGAACCACTTCAGGTAGCAAGAGCTGGGGAGGCAGGAGGTCATGGGGAAGGTGACCCTCATCTGATGCTAAAAGGACCCTGAGACCCAGACTTCTTCTGCTTCTGTAGAACTCTCCATCCTGGCCCTTCCCCCGAGCCCTTCCTGCCAGCTGCCCTGGGTGCTCCTGCGCCCGCTGTGTGACATTTGCTGTCCTTCTGGAGTGGCCGATGCTCTTTAGATGACAGTAAGGGGAAAGCACCGCTGGCTCACTCAGTGAGACTTATCTGAAGGCCACAAAGCTGAAGAACTGACCAACCAGTCTCGGGGTGATGGGAAGCAGGGCCTCTAACACAAGCTCTGGGCCTCCCCACCCCGTCCCCCTGCCCCCGCCATCCCAGCACACTCAAGGTGCCTGCATTCTCTGTCCTTAAATTTCAAGTGTGGGTCACATGTTTTTGCCTTTAAGCATAAGCTCGTTACATCTGTGGTGCCCATTCTTTCCTTGTCCCTTGTAAGACTGACCTTGAGAACTTTTTTAATTAAAATTTTTTCTATTTTAGGGAAAGGGAGAGAGAGAGAGACATCCATGAGTTTCTCCACTTATTGAAGCTTTCACGGGTTGATTCTTATATGTGCCCTGACTGGGGACTGAACTCCTAACCTGGATGTTTTGGGACAATCCTCTGAGCAACTGAGCTACCTGGCCAGAGCTGACCTTGGTCATTCTAACTTGCATTTACACATACGGACTTCTGTGGGTGTATCTGTGTATCTGGGGGGAGGGGGGAAGGAGAGGGCGATGAAATGTTACAATATGATTTTTCCCCAAACTATCAAAAAAAAAAATCCCCTCGTGTATCAAACTTGGAACGTTTAAAATACCTTGTGTTATTGCATTGTTGGATCTCTGTTATATCTTGGACCCATAACTAAAATGTTCTGTGTGAGCAGGACCATCTTTATTATTCATTTATTTATTTATTAGAGAATAAACATGGCTTTTACACTAATTTGAAAAACACTAATTGTAAATATCCCAAGGGCCATTTTGAGGTGTATTTGCTGTGTTATCATAGGGGTCATATCTATGAAAACATCACAGCAGAGACATTTATAATAGGGGCCACAAAACAGGGAATGACTATGGATTTCCATTTTCTTGTAACATTGGCCAGTGTAACATTGGCCAATGACTTATTTTTTCTGGAGCTCAAATGTGCCTGCTGCCACTGAGAGACCATCAGCCTTCTTTCTCACCTTTGGATGATTGCACAGAATTTATATAAAGTCCTTTCGACCTGCTTCAGAGGGTTCCCTGTTTCTGTCATGACCACTGTCACTAAGGAATGGGGACTGCAATACGGAACATGAGGGGAGGAAGGAAGTATGAAAGCTCTTAGCTGTTTTCCCTGAGACACAATGGTGGAGAGAAACGAGGACGCAGGGAGGGTTCTCCGAACCTGGGATTAATAGTAGTGAGTGTGGTTCTCTGCGTGTCCATCCGCCCTCCTTGGTTCTCCAGCACTTTTTAGGCCCCTAGGGAAACCTCACCTCTTGTGAGTTTCTAATGGATCTTTGCAAATTTGTATCGGTTGGTTGCAGCTTTTTTGTTTCTATGATTCTAAGAGGTTGCAGCCTCCCCTCTCCTAGACTCTGCCGCTAGACCCTGCTCTTTCCCCAGAGCAAAGGGGCTTGAATGGTCAAAGAGGAAGAGGCTTGGGCAGCTCTTTCCACTCTGCTCCCAGCTCTTTCATGCCCGGGGGTGTCCAGTCGGGGTCGGAGCCCCGCCTGGATACCCAGGTGCTCCCTGCTCCCCTCCCCTGCAGGACAAGCTCGGTGCAGGTCCAACTTGTGTGTTCTCATCTCTCGGCACCCATGCCAAGGTTGCTTTCTTTTTTAAAGTTACATTTCTGCCTGCCTGCCAGCTGATTTCCCTCCATTCTCCTCCTCCTTCTTGCCTTAAATAATATCCCTTTCTTCTTCCAAACACTCTCAGTAGGAATGAGCTGCCACTTCTGTAAGCTGGGACTGATGTCCTCAGATGGCTAAAGTGACATCTAGACAGAAATTCCTGTACGTTAGAGCACAGGTGGCAAACACCAGGCCCACAGCCCGAATCCAGCCCTCCACCTTGTTCCATCCGGCCTAGCACCTCATTTCTTCCGGGCGGTAGCGCCAAAGCTCTCGCTTAACTGTTAAGTAGTTACATTTACACAGCCCTAAAATTACATTCAGCTCTTTGAAGGCAACCACGAGGCTGATGCGGCCCCCAGTGAAAATGAGTTTGACACCCCTGTGCTAGAATATCACACATGAATAAAGTGGTTGGGGAGAGATTCATGCACATTTTTTTACATCCCCAGATATTTAATTAAAAACCTGTAATAGAATCGAATCCTGCTCTTATTGGAGGAAAAGAGTAGAATCTGATGGAGAGAAACAGATTTTTTTTTTTAAAGCCAAGAATCTGAAAGAAGTCAAGGACTTTTATGTTGTTTTTAACTAAAGAAATGGACTCTGTCCCAAGCATGGAGGGAATAAGTAAGGCAATAGTCGTTTCGGGGGTGATTGTGCGTCCTTGACAGCCCCCCCCCCCCTGCCTGTTGTCTGGACTTATGTGTTTCCACGGGTGACGGGTCTCCATCCCTTGGCCTTCTTATTAGGATTCAGGTCCTGCTGGCCCGGGGCACTTTCCTTGGCCATCACGATTTCATTCACAGTCAGGAGCTCCAGGACCACGTCCGCCACGGCTTGGAGGCCTTGGGCCTTGGCGCCCAGGGTGTCCCACACCTCTTCCCGGGCCGTGTCGATCATGCCTTCAAACCCCACCCCGGCTAGGAAGTACCCAGCCTGGTGAGCAGCGCTCATGTCCGCCATCACGGAGGCGGCGGCCAAGCCCGCGTTCTCTGCCAAGGTGGCAGGGAGAGCCCGCAGGGCCTGGGCAAACGCCAGGAGCACGGGGCCCCGAGGCCCTTCCAGTGCGGTCCCCGTATCAGAGAGCATCTTCGCCAGAGCCATCTCGGTAGCCCCGGCTCCTGGAAGCAGTCTGGGGTCCTGGCACAGCTGGAAATAGGCATCGATTCCATGGTAGACGGCCTGCTCTGCCTCCCGGAGCCCCGCCGTCGTGGGGCCCCGGAGGACCACGGAGAGCGCAGGGGTTGCCGGAGGCTCCCATTCAAACACCACGGCCAGGCCTTCCCGCAGCTCCTGCCCGTACACCCGCTGGCACTTCCCGGGCTCCAGGGGGGCAACCAGGTGATGCATCACAGGTGTGCCCAGAACCTCGCTCAGGCCGGCCAGCTCCCGCGGGGACTTCACCTGAACCACCATGATGTCGAACTTATCGGCCTGTGCCAGGGGGTTCTCCTCCACCTCCCCGCACACCACCGCCACGTTAACGCCCGCACTTGCCAGCTGCGCTACTTGCTTTTGGAACAGGCTCTCGCTCCCTTTCCTAAACTGAGTGAGGTCTGCAGGACCGGATAGACGGGCCTTCGCGGGGGCATTTGGACTGGGAAGCCCGAAGGGGCAAGCAAAGACTGCCACCCTGGCGCCTGTCGGCACCACGGTCACTTGCCCGCACGGCTTCCCCGGCACAGCCAGCCCAGGCAGCAGGCACGAGTCCTCCGGCTGCCCTCCTCGCAGCGCGCACACCCCCACGCGCTCCCGGCGGAAGGTGCCGTCCAGCTCCTTCGCCGCCCAGCACACCTGCGCCACCAGCTTGGCCAAGTACCCAGCCTGGGACAGCGTGTGGGTATTCATCACCGAATACAGGGCCCTGGACGGGTCTTCCAAAGGCCCCAGAGCCCGGACCGCCAGCGACGGCAGCAGGGCCAGGGTCTCCGCGGCGGCCGCGGCGTAGGCCTCCCGGAGCTGGGCGCGGGGCAGGCCGGCCCGCAACAGGAGCTCGGCCTGCGTCAGCAGGGCCTCGGCCAGCAGCACCACGAAGGCCACCCCGTCGCCGCAGTGTTCGGCTTGGCCCAGCGCGGCGTCCCGCAGCAGCCGAGCAGCTGGGTGCTGCAGCTGCAGGGCTCCCAGGATGGCCGTGGCGTACCCCGTGAAGACGGTCTCTCCTTTGGCGGTCACCAGGAGCTTCTGGAGGCCGTAGGGGCCGTAGCACGGCCGGATGACATTGGCCAAGGCCTGCGCCGCGGCCAGGCTGCTGAGAAGGTGCTGCTCCTCTGTTCCCTGACCGCTGGGGCCCGGCCACAGCCGCTGGGGCAGCTCCCGCACTGAAGCGGCTTGGTGAGCCATGGCCTGTCGGGAGGGGGGCCGCCCTGGATGCAGGAACGCTCCGGAAGGGGGCGGGGTGGGGGTGGGGAAGCGATACCAAGCTTTTGAAGCTACTCAAGGGGTCAGTGGACACACGGGCCGGGCCGTAACCCAGTGTCTGGGGTCAGCTGCCCTCCAGGCTGGGTTTGGGGGCGAGCCCAGGTCTGAAACCACCCCACACTGAGCTGTAAGGGAAGGAGGCTGCTGGGGCCTCTGACCCTTGGTGGCCAAAAGGGATCCCATCCTGATGACCTCACAGAGTGGCACCTGGAACCCCGGGCGGGGAGTGAGGTCACAGAAGGCTGGTTAGAGTCCGGGAGGGCCTTCGGGTGCACCCAAGTCAGGCCTGGGGTCCAGAGGGCTCGGGACACACCCGAGTGCCAGGCCCTGGCACCGCATTTGAATGTTGGAGACTGTGAGGAGACCACGAAGTGGATGAAAGGATGGACCCACTTAGATTCCCTGATGACATTGTGGCCCCTCGTTGCCCATTTAAGGGGGAGCGTGTCCCGTTGGTTTCCCTCCCTGCACAGGACCAGCCAGGGCCTCCGCCTCTGGCCGCCTTATCCGTCTGTCTGTGCTAGTCATCCGGTTCCTTCAGGTGTCTGTCGGTCTGTCTGTCTTTCAGGTTGCAGGAGTGTGACACCAAGCAAAGTGGGACAGCTCCTTCCAAGGACAACAATGTCACCAAGTTGGCAAAGGCAGGGCAAGACGAGGGAGAGAGGCCCACAGCCCACAGACAAACAGGAGTGGACAGCGTGGAGGGAAAGGGACCCGCCTCCCAATGGTCAGGAAGGTAGAAAACCTGAGTGAACAGAGTTGGGGCCCCCTCGGCCTCCCCCTCCCTGCTTAGAAGGTAAGTTTTTTCTTTTGTCCCCTCCTTCGCTCACTCCCTCCTTTCCTCATATGGAGCCTATTGGAGTGATGATTGTGTCTCTCTGTTTGACACATGGAGTCCCCCCGATGTGCAGAGTAGTGAGGGAAACAGGTGACAGGAACACAGAGACTAGCAAGCGGCAGAGACTCCCACTGCATGAATGCAGCTTCCCGCAGGTGTGGGTAACTCGCCGGCTGGGGGTGGTGAGTGTCTCTAATCAAGATTAGGGGAAAGAGCAACACCATTCATTCATTTTCACTGGGGGAACACACCCGGTTTCCTTCCCCGTTGAGTGGGGGAATGATGGTGGTCAGAAGTCATGATAATGTAGGAGGTATTGTTTCAATATTTCCACAGGCAAGTGTTCGGTGCCAGAGGGGTACTGGAGGTATTGGGGGATCACTTCGTAAATTGTGTCTAACCACAGTGTTGCACATCTGAAACTAATAGTAAATAATATTGAGCCCTGGCTGGTGTAACTCAGCAGCTCGTGCGCTGGCCTGAGAACCAAAGGGTCACCGGTTTGATTCCCTGTGGGAACACATGCCTGGGTTGTGGGCCAGGTCCCCAGTATGGGGTGTGTGAGAGGTAACCAATTGATGTTTCTCTCTCTCTCCCTTTCTCCGTCCCTTCCTCTTTCTCTCAAAAATAAATAAATAGGATCTTTAAAAAAAGAATATTGAATGTCAACTGTAATTGACAAATGAAAAAAAAAAAAAAGAAAAAAAAAGATCCAAGAAAGTTACTGTCATTGACAACCCCAGCCGGGAGGGGATCCCTGGTTCCATGCTGACCAGCATGATTCCCGCAGGCACAGGCATGCATGGGGAGGTGTGACCACACTGCACGGGCTGCCCTGCCTGTCATTTCCCCTCCGCACTCCCTCGGCTGGGAGACATGTTTCTAAGCAGATCTACTGTCTGAAGACTGGACAACCCTTTGACCTCTGCTGATTTCAGAGACTCTGTGAGACACGGGCACCATCCTCTGCCCAGGTTTCCGAAAGCCAGTGACCCTGGCAAGGGTGTCACCCATGTCGATCGATTACAGGCAGCAAAGATGACTTGCCCATTTCTTCATAGACCTGGAAAATACATTGTAACAACCAACCTAAAATGTAGCGAAGAAACAAAGTGTGCACATATACATTGTTTACAAAGATACAATTTCTTTTTCAAAAGCAAACACTCCAGTGAAGAATTGTCTTAGTTCTTTCTCCTAACGTTACCATGTTTCCCCACTTATTTGGCTTCTTCCATGATTATTTATTTCGATGCTTCTGAATAGTAGGCAAAAGGTGAATTCAGCAGACAGCTGCAGTCTTCTTCACAGGGTTCAGTGCCGGATACAGGCAGCACTGTATCCCGGCAATTTAGGTGGGGGAGCTGTGATGGGGTGCAGCACAGGTGTTATTGAAACACCCAGAGGGACATGGAACCATCGCCATTGGGAGAGCGGTGGTCCGGGATGGGAATGAAGTCTGAAGGGAGAGCTGAAGGAAAGAGAGTGAGGAGGAGGATTATTGCAGACATAATTAAGTAAGATGAGGTCATCCTGGAGTACGGTGGATGCTGAACCCAGTGCAACTGGCCTCCTTACAAGAACGGAAGACACACAACAGAGAACGCCATGTGAGGGCACAAACACACAGACAAGACGGCATGTGACCACAGTGGCAGAGACTGGAGTCATGCACCTACAAGACAAGGGACGCTGAGGACTGTGGGCAGCCAGCCACCAGACACCTGGAGAGAGACAGGGAACAGATTCTCCCTCGGAGCCCCCAGAAGGAACCAGCCTTGTCAACACCTTGATTTTGGACTTCCAGCCTCCAGAGCTGGGAAAGAATGAGTTTCTGTGGTTTAAAGGTGCCCAGTGTGGGGTTGATTGGTGTGGCATCCTTAGGAATCCGTACTGTGTCCTTGTCTATGAATAAAGGAGAGGAACCTAAGAAAGTGTGTGTGTTTGGGGGTGGGGGGTGGGAGAGCCCATCTGTAGGCGTGTATCACACCTGCCGGCAGAGCGGTTTCCCATTAACAGATGCCATCTGCTGACTCATCCCACCAGCCCTTCCCCCCAAGCCCCCAGCCACATTTCTTTTAAAACGAAAGATCATGATTGTGTACACAATGGCTATAAATATTTAATCTTCCTATTTGTGTGTTTTTCCGTGTTTAATGTTCAGTTGCCTGCTTGTCCCTTTTGTGTTTATCTAGTTAAGCAGTGCCAGGCTTAGAGTATATACCCCTAGAGGGCAAGATTCTTATCACTATCTAAAAAAAGCACAGAAGACCTACTTACTCTTGACTCAGACCCTGAGCCCCAGGTTTTTTTTTTTTTTTTTAACGTGATGGATCTGTTTGTTTCTTTCTAGTTTCTTTAATTTTTCTGTCTCACAGGTACACAGTATGAATTACTGAAATAACTTATGCAAAGCAACATGAATTTTAAAAGCTAAAAGACACACCACGGACTAAATATGAATGAATTTTAAGTGATCGAAATTATTTTTAAAACATGTTTTCCCCTGAAAAATAAACCAAACCAAAACAAAGTACAAGAGCCATGGCTGCAGCTTTTTAAAGCGTAACTTTGATAGTAAAAATATGAATGTAAAAATGGTAAGATCTAGAATTTAAGTTTTCAGTGGTCCTTTCCCAGCTGTGAGTTTGGTTCCTAGAAAGCCCTGACGAACTCAAGGGTTCAAGGGGAAACAAAAAGAGGGGGATGACAATGAGCAGTGAACCTAGGGCAAATCCGTAGCCACACTTTTATGCTCCCTAAAACAAAGCAAATGTCCCTTGTCCCTAAAATAAAGACACTGAATAAAGCCCATGCCAATGACATCTGTAGGCCTTCAGTTAGTAAGGATGGGTCCTGGGCTATGAATTTTTACTCACTGTTGCTTGCTACACTCAGAGTCTCATTTGCTTACAGTTTTTGTAAGGTGGTTTTTTCTTTGTTGCAGGTTAAGCCCTTACCCCTCCCACATGTTAAATATTTAGTATGTATTTATGATTATACTACATGTGCTTTGAAACATTATATATATATATATATATATTTTTTTTTAGTATTTCTTTTTAAAAAGATTTTATGTATCTTTAGAGGGGAAGGGAAGGAGAGAGGGAGAGAAATATCAATGTGCAATTGCCTCTCATGTGTTGCCTGCTGGGAACCAGACTGCAACCCAGGTATGTGCCCTGACTGGGAATTGAACCAGCGATCCTTTGGTTTGCAGGCCCTAGTACAATCCACTGAGCCACACCAGCCAGAGCTGAAACATTATATTTTTAGAGAAATGTAACACAGAAAGTGAAAGCTGCTGTAACCCCACCCTTCAGAGATAATTACACTTTGGTGCGTAGCTACCATACTGAAAAAATGCCTGTTTAATGTGTGTACTTTAGAAACTAGACATTCTAATTTTTTTTGGGGGGGGGAGGCCTTTGCAGATGCTCGCGTCTTTCTAATTTTATAGTTTGGAAGCACCTCTGCTCCTTGCCTTCTGGATTTTTGCTGCCATTGTGGTCTCCGAGCTGTGTAATGTACATAATAGAAATGAAATAACCCTTGAAAAATTTTATGTTGAATAACTATTTCTTGAATACTTCCCTTGCATCCTGAGTTCTGTATTTTACTTGCTCTGCCTGTGATAACTTCTGGTGGAGGATCCTACTATCCTTTTAAATAGATACCAACTACTTGTTTGCTCACTGTGGCCAGTGAGATGGAGATTCAAGGCTGGGCTTCCTCACCCTCACCGCCCTGCATCTTCCCAGAGGCATCACTGCACAAACCCGTGACGTGCAGTTTGCACTCCCTGACACAAGTGTCCCCCCGACCCCCCATGCTGGAGAAGTAACCTGAATTATCCAGGCACATCATTTTGTGCACAGTTGGAAATGGCCGTTCTAATTCCAGCACTGAGCCCAGTAAACATCTGTGTCAATCATCCAGTTTTTGAAAGTGTGCTTTAAAGCATCATGTGTTAGAGAATATGAAAAAGGGTAATAATAAATTTTAAACACACCATGTCATACGTTTGTCATTAGTCACAGATATGTTGTATTTCTATGTATAATGGGCACTTTTAGTTTGCATTTACCAAGCCAGCTAGCTTCTCCCCAAGCTCAAAATTCCCATGGCTATAAATTTAGCCAACTTGAAAAAGCCAGTAGGGATTAAACCTTGAAGGAATTCAAATGACTATCTTATTAGAGTCTTATTTCAGACATTTCAAGAAATGATGCTTTTAATAAGAATAGACTCGAAATCAAACTAAGTTTTGCCCAAATAGGAAACACAATTTAAGGTTTATATTCTGGCTATTGGGAGGAAGGGAAGATGAACAAAGCCAAAACCACCCCCCCAAACAAAAAAACGCCCCAGCATAGTATTTTTACCCTACACTAAAATTGTAGTGAAGTTTAAAAGAAATCATAGAAAGTGCCCGGTGTGTCCAGCCTAGAGTACCTGCTTGCTTAGTGAATGACAGACTATCTTAATTCTTGTGCAGATGGTTAGTTGATAGGTCTTAATATTTCCCCCCAAATCAGTGTGTTTGCTGCCTCATACTGATCAATCGCTCATGGAAAGCACATTGTCCAGTTGCCTCCCTGTACAAGTAAACTCAGAATCTCGTATTTGTCGATGTCCTTCCTCAAAGTGCATATTATCAGATTTATGATTTTAGCCCCCTTTTTCTTTTACCATTTTTTTCTGATGACAAGAGGTGGCTTACAAGGACTTGGTATTTTGTCCGTTGATCACACTGAACGGGAAAATCAAGTTGCTGGGTTTGCACGGGCATCGGTACCTCTTCCCCCGTTCTTTTTGTGCCCAGCTGTGTAAGCCCTTCCTGGATCATTTTTTAAAATGACGTTGGAGTAAAAGTGGAACTCTCCGGGGAGTGGGATTATTTATCGCAAAGTTGCAATGCATTTCTCCTCTGCAGACGCGCGTTACCTCCGGAGAACCCGGGACGGGGCCAGCGGAGCCCGTCCGGCTCCCGGCGCGCGCCCGCGCGGCCGCCTCCTCCCTCCCGCGGCCGCCAAGCACACCCGACCCGATCCCGGATTCCGCCTCCGCAGCTTGGCGCTCTCCCTAGCCGGAGCCGGAGCCGCCGCGTCAGTGGAGGAGGGAGCGGGGGCGGGGGAGGGGCGGTGAGGTCAGCGGCGGCGGCGCGTCCGCGAGCGGCGCATGCGCAGAGCCAGCCCCGTGAGTGGCAGCGGCGACGCGCGGGGGGCGGTGGGGCCGGCGGGTGGGGGAGGGGGCGGGGGCGTCGCGGCGGCCGTGTGTGGGCGAGACGGCGGCGAGTTTGAGAGGTCTGTGGTGCGGGGCGCCCGGGGAACGCCCGGCGCGGCCCTCGCGCGACGACCACGGTCGAGAGTATGTGTCGGTGTGCGGTTCACGCTCCGCCACAAAACTTCCTCCTCCCCGGGCCGGGGCGGGGGGCGGGCGCTGAGGGGCCGGCGCTCGCGCAGCGCGGAGCCCACAACAACAACTGGAGCAGCTGTCAAAACTTCGCCGCCACCGCCGCCCCGCCTGACGCGGCCCGCGCGGGGGAGGGGCAGCCGGGCGGGCGCGACCCCCGCCCCCCCCTGGCCCGCGCCCGCCCCGCGCGCGCCGCCCCCCGCGCGGCCCCGCCCTCCCGCCCGCGGCGGGCGGCCTGGGGAGGGGCGCGGGCGGAGACCCGGGGCCGGCGCCCCTCACCCCTCCGCCTCCCCGCCGCGCCCGCACGCGGCCCCCGCCCGCGCCCCGCCCGCCGCCCGCACCACCCCGCCCGCCGGCCCCTCCCTCGCGCCCGCCCGCCCCGCCTGCCGCCCCCCGCCCGGCCCCTGCGCGCCGAGGTGCGCGCGCCCGCGCCGATGTGTGTGAGTGCGTGTCCTGCTCGCTCCATGTTGCCGCCTCTCCCGGTACCTGCTGCTGCTGCTCCCGGGGCCGCAGGCGATGCGAGAGGCTGAGCCGGGGAGCAGCAACCCGAGCAGCAGCGGCGGCGGCGGCCGCGGCGGCAGCGGCGGGAGGAGCCCCCCAGGAGGAGGACCGGGATCCATGTGTCTTTCCTGGTGACTAGGATGTCGTCGGAGGAGGACAAGAGCGCGGAGCAGCCGCAGCCGCCGCCACCACCCCCCGAGGAGCCCGGAGCCCCGGCCCCGAGCCCCGCAGCCGCAGACAAAAGACCTCGGGGCCGGCCTCGCAAAGATGGCGCTTCCCCTTTCCAGAGAGCCAGAAAGAAGTAAGTTGAGTGTGAGGGAGCCAGGCCGGGCGCCAGCCGCGGCGCCGGGCCGGAGCTGTCACTGCGCGCCCGGCCCGCCGCCCCCGCGCCCGCCGCCCCCGCGGGGTGGGGGTGGGGCCGCCCGCCGCGCGTCCCCGGCCCGGCGCCCGCCCGCCCGCCGCCCTGCCCCGCGCCCCTCGCCGCGCCCGGGCCTCCCGCAGGCGCCCCGCACCGCCCGCCCCGCCGGGCGCCGCCGCCGCCGCCTCGCACCGCCGCCACACTTTACTTTTTAGTTGGGCCCTTGCGCCGTGCTTTCTGGGCGCCCTTCTTCGGGGCGACCAGTTTCGCGGCCGTCTGCCGGCCTCGCCGGGTCTTTTAAAAAACAAACAGCGCGGCACACCTGGCGCTGCCCGAGCGAGTTTATTGTCAACTACAAAGCGGCGCGCCCCGGGACGCCGGCCGAGCTGTCAAACGCCGCGGCCCGGTGGTCTCCGGCCGGCCGGGGAGCGGCGGCGAGGCGGCGAGGACGAGTGCGGCGGGGGCCGCTCTTCTTTGTCGCCCTGCAACTTTTCCGGCTCCCGGACCGGCGCTTTCCTTCTTCCTCGGTGTATTAGGAAGTCGTTGGACTTCTTGCTCCCCTCCCCCACCCAGAACCTCGCTGCCGGGCACCCCAACGCGCTGCCCGGGTGCGGGCTGGCTGCTGGAGGATGAGCGCGCAGGAAGTTTGGGAAACGCAGGCCGGCCGCGCCGAGCACGTTCGCTCCCGGGGCGCGGATTAGGCGCCGCGGAACTTCGTGGAAGTTGCTGGGTCAGGGACACCCGTAGTCGGCTGCGGAGCACGCACCGGCTCCGGGTGCCCGGGCGCGCTCTCCGTTGCCGGCGTTGGCTGGTCACCGAATGGCTGGCTGTACGGCAGCTTTGCCTTGAAATTAAGACACTCGTGGTGGTGCCAGGGAGTCGCTCGGCCCCTGTGGGTCCGGAGGGTGCCACGGAAGGTCTGTGACCGTCCTCTGAAGTTGTAGTATGGCGTGTGTCGCTTACTCATTTCATCGTACGATCGTCCGCCCAACTGGTGTCGGGAGTGGAACGCTGCACATTTATGGATACTCTGTTGTTGTCGTTCGGGTGAATTCATTTAGCAATATTGTTGCGTTTGCTGATACACAGTTAAAATAGTAGTGTTTATTGAGGAGGAGCAGAGCGGCGCTGCAGGAACCCCAGGAAGCCCTCGACTGAAGAGCTCTCTTTTCTCTGCTATCCCTGATTCTGAAAACGATTCAGGGCCTTCAGCTTGCCTCCATATTTTACTGCCAGCTCTTACGGAGCTCTGTTGGACCGTCAGGGAAACTAGTAGAGGCTGCATACGTTACTGCTTAGCTGCTTTGTCATACAAAGTTAGGGTTTGGAGTGCCACTTGCATTATAACGTAATTCTGGCGTGAAATGCCATTATGAGTCCTGTATTAAGTGAAATTTGGAGTAGGGAGGTGTTTTAGGTAAGCTTCAGCTTCTATGCCACTTTCTGTATCCTTCAGATCAAACACCAACATATATTAGGGGTTTAATTCCTTCCCATTTTCTCTGTTTGGAAAGCACTTTCTGTTTTTTTTCTGAACATTTGGGATTGATTTATGTTTTAGATTTGTTTTTAAGTTCTTTCTCTAGAAAGTGTACACCTACCTGTTGTCAAGCTCCTCGCCCACACACACCTCCGGAGGTGGAAATAGGCGCATATATATTAGTGCAGCTTCTGGTGCACCAGAAGAAAAGGTTGATTTGGGGTAGTACCACTTTACTATTTCAATGTCTGCAGAACACAGCAATCTAACGACATAAAAGTATCAGCACATTGGAAAGTGTCTAGAACAATTCTAAGTCTTAGGAGAATTTTCAACTTTTAGGTTTGAAAACTGGTACAGGATTCATCGTAGGAAATAAAGTACAGTGCTGACTTCAATGGTTCCAAACTTTTAAGTGAATCTTTAAAGTCAGATATGTTTTTGGAAGGGGGTGGACTCTCCAGATGTTTTAGAAACATGCAAATGGAAACCAGTGAAATGAAAGTGGAAAGAAAGGTTTTGAGTGGGCACTTCTACCCCGTGTTAGGACACATGCAGAACAGACCCTGTACTTGGTGGGAGAAGACCCGGAAAGTGAAACTGATAGGCAGCAAGCTTTGGTTGGGTTTGTAAACACTGAAATATCTGCAGATTAGTTTTGTGCAATATGAAAATTAATATTCTTTGCCATGGAGATCCAGGCTTTTCAATGGCGGGTGTGATTTCAATGGTCACGAAGTGGGTGGTTCTGGGTGGTTCGGTTAGAGCACATTAATCCTCTTGACATACTTTGTTTCAAAAATGGGTTTGTGTGTCTGTCTTTGGGTGGGTGTGTTGCTAATTACACTTTTCTTTGAATTTGGACTTTCTGACAGGGAAACACATTTAATGTTTTCTTATCGTATTTAATATTAGTTAACTTTTTGACAGATCTTGCCTCAGGTTTATGTAATACTAGATAATTTTTATGTTTTATCACATTTAAAAAAGCATAGGCTATATAGTTACTGGTTTTACATGTAACTATTATTACTTTAAAATTCTGTTTACTACTTTAAAGGATTTTGAACTGAAGCTTTAATCTTAGAGGCAAAAATTTGAAGAAATATACATAAGAATTTTAAATTAATTATTTAAATTCTCACTCGATATTTGTTTTTAAAGATTTTATTTATTTACTTTTAGAGCGAGGACAAGGGAGGGAGAAAGAGAAGGAGAGAAATGTCAATGTGTGGTTGCCTCTCACAAGGCCCCCAACCTGGGACCTGGCCCTCAACCCAGGCATGTGCCTTGACTGGGAATTGAACTTGGCAGCCTTTCAGTTCACAGGCCAGTGCTCAATTTATTAAGCCACACCAACCTAGGCGAGGACATGTTTTTTGAAAAATTGTTTTAAGAGCGAGAGTAAGGGAAGGTGGTGAGAGAGAGAAACAGACAGACATTGATGTGAGAGAGAAACATCAATTGGTTGCTCCTCGGGATCGAACGTGAAACCTAGGTGTGTGCCCTGAACACGGATCAAACCTGCCGCAGCCTTTTGGTGCCCGGGACCACACCAAGCAATTGAGCCACCTGGCCAGGGCAGTAATTGTTTTTTCTTCTTCTCCTTTTTTTTTTTTTTTTTTGGTAATACAAAAGTCAAGTGGAGCAGCGAGATTTGCATTTGCCTAAAAGTTCTGAGCAGTAAGGACTATCTAATTGCTTGGTTATTGGAGTGCCTCATTGTCTTCACCGCAGGTGCTGGTGTCCTTTTGGTGACAGAGCCCCTGACTCAGGACGCACATCTAGAGGGTCCGATTAGTTTTTTTATTAACGTTAAGGAAACTCTTCTTGGAGCTTTTTTTTCCTTCCTTAGAGTATATAAGGGGAGCCATGAAAACATCCCACCATGTTTCTTACCAAGTCAACAACAAAATGCCCATCAGTGGACAACCATGTGGGTTTTGTCAGGACAGAGGGTAGACCTGTGGGTGCCCAAGTGGGGGTATGTGTATAATACATAGGAGTATGGGGAGGGTCTTGGGGTGGCGTAGAAGCAGCAGGTGGTAGCTGGGGTTCCTGAGGCACCGTCCTTGGCCCTCTCTGGATGAACTCGTGACAGCCTGCACCACTTTTTGTGTAGAGGTCAATTACTGTCATGAGAAGGCCACCCAGAGCACTGTCGCTGCAGGAAAATTAGGGACCAGTGACCAGCCAAATATGGCCGTGCTGCAGCTTGGGTCAGGCCCCTCCCCCAACAGAACTTCTTGGTTCCATTTCTGTGGGCTTGAGACAGTGATTAAAAAACCCTGTTGCACTTCAGTGTATGCGGTTTCATAAAACAATGGTTTATCGTTGAGAGGTGTCATTATCATTATTTATGCTCTTTGAGATAATGCAGATTTGTAATTTTTATGATAGTAATTCTTTTTTTTTTAATTTTAAAAGAAATCAGATAAGTGGAGATTTTCGGTAATTACTGGTCTCTGGCAATTAATGGGCACTGAAACATTTTAATTTATTCAGAAAGCTGGCCCAGGAGTGGCAGCCTGTCTTCTGTCGGGCGGCTGTTCTCCCTGTGCCTGTTGGCCTTTTTTATGGCACTGCTCGTCTTTGAGAATGTGTTTTCAGTTGAATGTATAATTTTTTATCAGTGTATTGCTGGTTACTAATACTATGTCAACCTAATAAACATGTCTCACAAGTTAATTTCCCCGGTCTGAAAACATTAACTTAATACATTTTCCTGTGATCTCAGTCCAGCCTCGCTAGACTTGCAGTCACTTTGCAGAGCGACAAGGCACACTGCTCACTACCCTTCCGCTCCCTGTTTGCAAGACTGCAGGTGATTCCCGGCCACAGGCAGGTTTCCTCTGGGCAGATGGTACTCCTCCCACCTCATGTCCTGAAGCCAACAACGGCATGTCTTTGGACGCTTCTGTGGAACCTCGCCGTCCTTCCAAACTGAAAATGGTCAGTTTTGCCTTACAGAGAACCTCGGATGCACTCTCTGTGTGCTTTCTGTTGGGGACGGGTGAGATCCCGTGATAGGATTTGATAGAGTGTGTGATCTGTGAGAGGTTTGGACGGAACCTAAGCTGCACAGAGCCGACAGAGAGTACACTTTCCAGGGACTGTGTGTGTGTTTCTCTTTTTCCTTTGTTTGGCCCCTGTTTTCATTTCAGTGAACACATTTGTCCCTTCTTTCTCTCTTTAGAAAATTTTCTTTATCATGTTTGTGCTAAAGTGGCTATTTCCAGAACTTCTTGGCAGTACAAATTGCAGAAGCTATTGAGTAAAATAGGGATATCTTTTTTTCCCTTCTTGCGACGGCCTGCACGTAAGTGTATGCTTGCGGCCAGTATAGACCAGACCTGAGTCTGCCGTGGGAGTCCAGTCTCTTTGTGCAGCATCTGGAGGACTGGAGAACGCAAGTTAGGAGGAGCAGGAATGACACAGCTCTTTTTGCACTTTCTCTGGAAGA